AGATTCACTGAAATCTAACAGGGCAAATGTCACTAAATTTTAAGGCTTGAGAATAATCCTCTGTGGCTGGACACTGTGTCCTCTGGGTGTATCAGGCGCTGGGGGCTCCATCCTTTTCCTGGCCTCCACGTCCGAGGAGGAAACCTCTGGGCCCATGGTGGCAGTGATGGCCTCTTGGGCCTCTAAAGCACTGTCAGAGTCATTCTTCCCTTTTCTTGAAGGATAATACATGTTCACAGCCAAATAGCTCTAGCAGCCCACTTCCTGCCTCTTGAATCCCAGAAGGCTAATAGCTTTCCTTCCTTTTGTCCCATCTCTGTCCCCTTTTTGTCCAAGCTGACTGTCAGTGGCAGTATTTCTGTTGAGATAGCTGATTGGATTCACAGGCCACACCCTTAGTATCCTCTCTAGAACATGCTCTCTCTTTTTTTTTTAGAGATTTTGTTTGAGAGAGAGATAGAGACAGTATGAATGGGGTGGAGGAGCAGAGGGAGAGGGAGAAGCAGACTCCCCACTGTGTAGGGAGCCCGACGTGGGGCTCGATCCCAGGACCCTGGGATCATGACCTGAGCCAGAGGCAGATGCTTAACCGACTGAGCCACCCAGATGCCCCTCTCATTTTTTACAATATGGATAGACTGAAATTTCCAAATATTCAAGTTCCGGTTCCCTTTTGCTTAACAATTCCTTCTTCAATTTCTCTCTCTCCTCTTGAATTTTGCTCTAAGCAGCAAGGAGAAACCAGGCAGTGCCTTCAGTGCTTTGCATAGAAATCTCAGTTAAGTATTGGAGTTCATCAACTGTTAAGTTCCACTCTCTACCCAGCAGAACACAGTTCCACCAAGTGTTCTGCCACTTTATAGAAAGGATCACCTTTCCTCCAGTTTCCAATAACATGGTCCTGAGTGCTGCCTGAGACTTCACCAGAAACACCTTTAACATTCGTATTTGTAGCATTTCTGTTCATGACAATGTGCGTACTGTCTAGGGTTGATAGAGGCTTTCTCTGCAGCTCTCCTCTTTCCTTTCTGAGCTTCCACCAGAATCTTCTGTAACACCCATATTTTTCTAACAGTCTAGCCTTTCCCTATCACCAATCTTCAGACTCTTCCAGATAACCCATTACCCCCTTCCAAGCTGCTTCCACATTTTTAGGTATTTGTTACAGGGGTACCCCACCTCCTTACAGCACAATCTGCATTTGTTTTGTAGGGTGGCCATAACAAAGAACTTCTAAGTGGGTTTCTTAACAACAGACATGTATTGTCTGCCCGTTCTGGAGGCTAGAAGTCTTGAGATCACTGTGTTGGTTGGTTCCTTCTGAGGGCTGGTGGTTCGCTGGCACTCCAGCATACCTTGCCTTAGAGATGCATCACCCTGCTTGATCTCTGCCTTCATCATCATGTGGTGTCTCACTATGTTGCTTCACATAACCTTTCATCTGTACATTCTCCAAAATTTCCCACTTTATAAGGGCACCAGTCACATTGGATTAGGGGCCACCTAATGACCTCATTTTAACTTACTACCTCTAGAAAGACCCTATTGCCAAATGAGATTACATTGTAAGGTACCAGGAGTTGGAACATCAACATATCTTTGCGGGGGAGGAGAACAGAATTTAACCCACACAACACTTATTAATAAATTATAAACACATGTTAGCAGTAAGTCAAGATTTTTAAATACAAATTATCATTATTTCTGGTTACATAAAACACAGAACTTGGATTAGAAACAGGTTACATCTTTATTTTCACTAACCTTTAATTGAAAGCTATCATTTCTTTCCATTTTGAATGTTGGTAACAAACCACAGTAGTATTACCAGAACCTGTAATTTCATTACATAGGTCTTTTCATATCACATTGCAGGTACTTCCTATTATGGTTTATGAATGATTTCAGTTTCCACTAGATCTTGAGTACTCCACAGGAAATAAGAAGAGAATGTGTTCATAGATAGGGACATATATTACTATATCAAAATTTTAAAAGAATTTGGATAACTGTATTTCAACATAATTGCTTTGTTTTGTTTTTAAAAATTATGTTTTGAGAAAGGCCCGTAGGATTTACCAGGTTCCCAGAAGTTTCACTGTTACAAAAATGGTTCAAAAACATTGTGCTAGCCAGTGGAGATAATGTAGTGAAACCACTGAGATAAGTTTTCTGCTTCCATGGAACTTAGTTTGGGGGATTGGCAAAGAAGAATGTGTAAAATGGTAAACAAGAAATAATCAGCAGAATTTCAGATAGTCATAGGGCTGTAAATTTATATAATTTGGATGACAGTGGGTGTCAGACATGGAAGATCTGGGAGTAAAAGGAGTAGCCAGTATACAATTTGAAGGTGGGGTGAGGTTGCTGTGATCATGAAATAACTTAGAAGGCCATAATGGCTGGAGTTAAGTGGTTTTTGGGAGAGAGGAAGGCCATTCTAAATGAGAACGAGTAGGAGAAAGAAGAGAAACCACATCATATAGAACATGTAGGCTAGAGTAATAGGTTCCAGTTTTATTCTAATTCCATTACTCATGTATCAGAGATTTTTAAAAATTATGTAAAATGCACAAATGTGTGTGTTTTTTGAAAAATACACATAACATAAAATTGACCATCTTAACCATTTCTAAGCGTATAGATCAGTGGCATTAAGTCCATTCACACTGTTGTGCGGTCACCAACCGTCCATCCATAGAACTCTTTTCATCTTGCAAAACTGAAACTTTGTCTTCACCAAACACGAACTCTCCATTCACCCCACCCCTCATCATTGGAGATTTTTGAGCAGGGCAGTGATAAGATGTGTTTTACATTTTAAAAATATAACTGTTTGCTCTGTGGAGAAAACACTGCTAGGCAAGAATAGAAACACTAACAGGAAATCGGTTAGGAAGTCAGATGAGAGATGACAGAGGATGAGCTACAGTGTTAGCAAAGGATGGATTGGAAATGTGTTTTCAGTAAATCTACTTGCAGTAAACCAGACAGCATTTGACGATAATCAGAACAGGTTTGGAGAAGGTTGTGGAGTCTTTTTCAGGCATGTTGAATCTGGATTGCCTATGAGACATCCAAGTGGAGGTAACAAACAGAATTGGGCATACAAGCCCAGAATCAGGAATATTTATATATATATAATATTGATTTTGATTTTTCAGAAAAGACATTTAGAGATTGTATACCAAGAATGACTTCAAGTGAAAACATTTGGATATTTCTTACTTGAACCAAAAAAATCATATATATATATATATATATATATACACACACACACACACACATATAATTTATATCTTATATATCATATTATTATATTTTGTATAATTTCTATATCAATATATATTTTATATATAATAATTTATATAAATATTTATATAACATATAAATAATATATAATATTTGGAAGTCATGGATAAGTGGGTGGTATTTAAAACCATGGGATTGGCTTAGATAATTGAGGGAGAAAATATAGATAGAGAAGAGCAATGGGAGTAATCCCTGGAGCACTCCTGTCTATTTTTGAGCACAAGTTGAGAAGAAGAGGGCTCCATGAAGGCTCTAGCTAGTCTTAGAGAACCAGGTGCTGCAGGAACCTAGATCTGGGCTCAGAAAAGGAGGCAAAGCTACCCTTTAAAAGCCCCATTGTACCTCTGGTTTTAGCAGGTAATATTGGGTCTGGTTGGGAGAGGTGTCTACCCTGCCCTCTAATTTATGTCTATACCTAGAAGGCTGGGATCGACGGAAACATGGTAGTACCAAGGAGAAATCCTTAGTTATTTGAAAGAGTTCAACACTTTTTGTACTTAGAAACACATTATCATATAAATGTAATTAGTAAAATGTGTAATTAGTGAAATGAATATTTAAGGAAAGAGGAGGTAAGTATTTCATTATACAAAAGCTTTGAGTATATTTTGTCTTACCATAAATTAATGATGCTAAATATATATTTTAATTCTTTCGGTCGTATTTTATGTATTATATATGTATTATATAACAATAACTATTTGATTAATTGATCATGTAAGGTTTAAGAAGTGGTCCAAAAAACAAATGTGAAAATTTATGTGATTTTTATTTTTATTTATTTATTTATTTATTTATTTATTTATTTATTTATTAATTAAAGATTTTATTCATTTATTTGACAGAGAGAGAGATAGTGAGAGCAGGAACACCAGCAGGGGGAGCGAAGGACAGGGAGAAGCAGGCTCCCCACTCAGCAGGGAGCCCGATGTGGGGCTCGATCCCAGGACTCTGGGATCATGACCTGACCTGAAGGCAGATGCTTAACGACTGAGCCACCCAGGCGCCCCATGTGATTTTTATATATCATATATATGTATATATACATACATATATGTGTGATTTTTATATATATGCAATAGACATAAAATTTTATATCTTTGTGTATATAATATATATGTGATATATGTGATTTTATATATGTATATATATGATATATAAAATCACACATTTCATTTTATATATATTTATATATATATAATTTTTTTGGTTCAAGTAAGAAATATCCAAATGTTTTCACTTGAAGTCACTCTTGGTATACAATCTCTAAATGTCTTTTTTGCAAAATCAATTTTAGACATAGGATATAATATAATACTTAAGAAAGTCATGTTTTGTTTTGTTTTTTTCAGTTGGTCACTGGAGCCAAAACTCTTGGGCAGGATTCCAAATAATAATGAAAATGTTGAATGTCACTTGTCTTGTCTTGCACAGAAATGCTCTTAGAAGTCCATGGTTTGCTAGTTATTTGGAAATCTCTCACCCCTTTGTTCTAGAAAAATATTCCGGTTTTTGTGTGTGTTGCCCTTTGCCATACTCAAACATTTGGGAAATGGAAATAAGGAAGCAGTAGTTTCTTAGAAAAACTATAGATGAATGGAACAGGAACTGCAAAATTAGCAAAATGTAACAGGAACTGTTGATCTGGTACATTATTGCTTTTGCTTATTTTTTTTCTCCTTTGCTAGGAGACCTGTTATGATGATGTGTGTTATACTCACCACACTTCCCAGCTTCAGCTTTTCTATCGCAATGACCGAGGTATGGAATTTTTATTTCTTTTGATGCAAGATTTTGAGATTTTAAAATTTCCTCTGTTACTGGAATTTGATAGAACAGTGTGCCTGAAAATTTTCTTAAAGTTTATTTTATCTAATCTTTTTCCAAGTTATAATGTATATATTTAAAGTACTAAGATCATTGTTACCTCTGCAATTGTGAAGGAAGGTCTAGCAGCCAATTAAAAAAAAATGCCTTCTGTGTTTGTGTGTGAGAGACAGGAATGTTAATTTCAAAATAATAAAAAAGCAAGGAATTTGAAAGTAGACCCACATTTGTTTCTTTTAACTAGATGTCTTTTGAGTGTCCTCAGTCCTGAACAATATCCAAAGGAACAACCACTCATTCTAAAACCTTTGATAATGTATCCATTGGCAAAGCATTTGCACATGATATTTGTTTGAAAATAAACTTGACTTTATGTTTTGACTTAATGAAGCTTCAAAAGGACTCTGATAGATGAGCATCTACAGGACAGGAATATTATAGGCAGAACTTTTAGGTTGTGAGAATTTTATTGTCTAAAAAAGGTTCAAAGAAGAATGCCCTATTAACCTTATTAATTTGGATGATGCTGTGAAAGATAATTTTCACTTCCCCAAAGTGAGTGACCTAAATTACTTTATATTTCATAGATGAAATATGTTGAATAGATACTTATTAAGTGCATATTACATGCCAGGCCGTGTGTTAGGTACTGGGATAAAACACTCAGGAAATTTGATGGAGTCTCTGGCCTTCAGTAATAATTTATCAACAGTAGAGAGAAAAATAAACAGGCAATCAGAATAGTTATGCTAGGCTTAGTGAAAGAAGTGAGTACTGGGTAGTGTATGATATCATTAGAAATACATGGTTGTTGGAATATGTCCTAGATGCTACATTAGGACAATATATGAATGTGTTAGAATAACCTCAGAAGGCTCCACAGAGGTACTTTCCATCAAACAACAATATGTGAATATTTTTATCTAGATTTATCTTTTTCTCTTCCCTCCTCCCCAAAGACTTTGTAAAGCACTTGGGAGGTCCCCAAGACCCTTAAAAATTCAGTTTACAACCTGTTAAGGAACCCTATTATCATAAAGTGATGGTGTATTTGTAGTTTGATTGACCTTTTGGGGGCAAAAAGAACCTTTTTGGTTCTTTTCTATTATGTCCTTATCCACTGTTGCACATTTTTTCCTTCTTTAATTTTTCACTCAAATATAACACACAAACAGAAATGTGTACAAAGCACAAGGTATACAATATTAATGAAATAGCACAGAGCAAAACCCTGTGTAAACACTACTGAGGTCAAAAAATAACTTTGCCAGCTCCCAAAAAGCCACCCCCATGTTTTTTTGCAATGACAACATTTCCCTCCTCCTCAAAGGTAACTTCTGTCTTAACTTCTAATGCCATATATTGGTTTGTCTGGTTTTGAATCTTTCATAAAAGGAAATACAATTATATATATATATATATATATAATATCTATCTATCTATCTATCTATCTATCTATCTATCTATCTATCTATCTATCTATCTTCTATTTATCTACCTAATCTATGTCTGGCTTCTTTTATTCAAAAGTGTGATTCATTCGAGTTTTTGTGTACAACTGTATTCCATTCATTTTTATTCTGTAGAGTATTTCTTATTATGAATATATTACAGTTTACATTTCTGCTTTTGATGCCCACCTTCAGTTGTGTCTGGTTTTGGTTATTACAAATAATGCTGCTGTGAACATCTTTGAATGTGTCTATTGATGCACATAGGCAAGAATTTCAGTTGGTTAAATATGCAGGAGTATAATCGAGGGGTCATAAGATATTCAAATGTTCAACTGTAGCAGAAGATGCCAGTTTTCCAAAGAGATTCTACTAATTTAGACTTCACACTGGCAGAGAATGAGCATACCTATTGTTCCACATCCTCACTAGCCTTACCTTGTAAGTCTTTTAGCCATTCCGATGGGTATATTCTTGAATCTCATTGTAGTTTTACATTGCATTTCACCAATAATTAATGAAATTGGGTGTTTTCTCATCTTGCCAATTTTTTCCTATTGTGTTATTTATCTTTTTGGAGTTGATTCAGAAGTTATTTATATATTCAGATTTCAAGCCCTTTGTTGATCATATGTATTGCAAATATATTCACACTTTGTGACAATACTTTTCATGCCATTTTTGAATGAAGAGTTCTTAATTTAAAAACAGTGCAGTTTATCAGTCTCTTTTTTTCATGGATAATAATTTTGGTAACTTGAAAAGACTTTGTCATACTGTGAATCTGAACTTCAAAGACCTGTAGATGTCCTCCTATATTATATTTTGGAGCCTGTATTATTTTACATCCTCTTCTGGATTCACAGTCCATTTGAAACTAATTTTTGTATATGTTGTGTAGTGGGGAGTCTGTTTTTCCCCCCAATTAATGTCTAATGGACTGAGCACTATTTATTAAAAAGTCTGTCTTTCCACATTTCTCTGTGGTGCTGCTTTTGTTGTAAATCAGGCGTGTATATATACACGTCTATTTCAAGCCTTGTTTTGTCCACTGCCTACTTTTATATACCTCTACCAACATCACATTGATTTAATTCTTCTAGCTGTAGAATAGCTCTTTATAGCCAAAAGAGTAAATCTTTATATCTTTTTCATCTAAATGTCTTGCCCTCTGTAGTTCTATATGGGTTTTAAAGTCCGCTTGTCATTTTCCACAAAAACTTTGAATTTTGATTGAGGTTGCATTGAATGGTATCATTTTTTAAAATTGCATTTTCGCTTTATTGGTATTTAGAAATAATTTATCTATTTTGGGGAGATTTTCCCCATGTACAATTATGTAGTCTATGGAAATATATATATATATGTGGAATAATTATATATATATATATATGTATATATATATATATGAACAGTGTTTCTTTCTTTCTCTTCCCTCATTATACCAGCTAGGACCTCTAGTACGATGCTGAATAGAATTGGTCATGGTGGCACCTTTGTCTTCTTCTTGATCTCAGAGGAAAAACTCAACATATCACCACTTATATGATGCTTGCCATAGGTTTTTTTGTAGATACCTTAATCAGATGAAGGAAGTATCCCAAAACCTGCCTGGGTTTACCTGGGCTCTCCCTTCTTGGAAAACCCTGAACTCCATCCAATATCTGTCCCCCTCATTCTCTGACCTAAGGACTCCCAAAAGCTCTGCTTAGCAGAAGAGTTGGAAGAAATTGCACATCCCACCATTACCAGGAGCCTGCCATTGTATTTTTGTGTGTATTTACCAAGCTCTATCTTGAACTGAAAGCTCTTCCACTGATAGGAATCTTTGTTACATCTTTACAAATTGTTCAAAAGCTTATGGGGTTGAACACCTGAAAATCTGGAAATCATCCTTCTAGTCTTTTAGCAAATGTCTTTATAATTAATTTATTGCTACTTTCAGACTATTAAAAGAATTTTAAATAAAGAAAGCACAAAAATATAATCCTTCTAAATGGTTTTCTGAAAACAGGTTCAAAAAAATATTAATGGTCCTGTGGATATCTTACCTGATAATTTACCTGACCTGCCAGTTTCTCTGGTTCTGACTTCCTTGATTGTGGTTGATATTATTGAAAAACTCAGGATATATCCTCTTAGAGGGCGGCTAAAGAGTAAGTATTCTTTTAAATATAAATATTTTTAGAAGTTTGACAGATTGTTCACCTTTCTGTCACCCTGTTACCTGTTGACATGTTTAATGATACCCTTTCTGACAGCTAACATTATAGTTAGAAGATCAGAAATGAAGATATCTAAATATAGTTATTTTAAAACCTACTTTGATAGGCAGTTATTCTTATTTGTATTTTGGTAGTACTGATAAATGAATAAACTTACCAAATATTTAATACCAAAAACTTTAATGTTTACTCTAACAAGAAAATTATCTAAGTAAATTATTATAGATTTATATTTTTCAGGAACGCTCTTAAAACCTTAAGTTTAGATAAATAAATAGTTTAGGTTTAGATACCTTTGATACAGAAATTAATGTGACTACTGCAGTTATGTCTTAGAGAATTATGTGTTTTTAATTGTGGATTGTCAAAAAGCTAACAATCACACTAACAAAACCAAGATGTGCCACAAATACTCTTCCAAAGGGATTAGTCAAAACTAAATTTAGGTTGGCCTTAAAAAAAGGAAAAAGGTATTATGCTAATTGAATATTATGATTGGTCTTAAATTTTCTCAACTTTCACTTAATTTCATGTGATAGTATCTGTGTTTAATTTATAGTAAATATATGCGATAGTTCTTGTATGACTAAGAGTTTATATTTGAAATAGGTAGGTTTTGTCTAATCACTTCCTGGTGGAGTGGAGGGGTTAGATTGAGTGAGTCACTGGGGAATGCTTTACAGTAATAGGGATGACTACTACAGCCAGGAAGGAAAAGACTAGAGAATCATGTATGGATCATGAGCCACCAGCCTTCCAGTCACTCTTACTCCTCAAATTTGAAAAATAAAACCAAGTTGGGAGGCCACCAGGAAATCTGAGACTCTGAGTTTCAAGTTTTGCACTCTGTCCTCAGGTAGGAAATGACGGTTGTGATGTTTAACAACGCAGGGTACGAGGTAGGAAAGATGGTAGCTAGTGGCCATCTTTTGAGGACAGGGTATCCTCAAGTTTTATCTGCCTTCCAGAGCCAAGTGTATTTGTCTCAGACTGAGGAGATTTGGGGATTGTCACATCCTTTGCTCCTTCTCTAGACTCTTCCTTGATGCAACCCTGTTTTGAAATTGGATTGTTTTTGATAATGCTGTACCTTCCCTGTTAATGTGGACATTCTGTTTACTTTCTTAGTGAAAATTCTCTTTCTAAAAAATACACATGTATATTTTTGGGAATAAGTTATTGGCATCTTATATTTTAAGTGATGAGTTGGATTGTCAAAGGGGCATTTTCCCCGTATCCAGCAATGATGATGACACTCAGAATTGAAATAAGAAAACCCCAAAGAAGTCAGTCTTGGAGACAAGACTTGAGAACATCTTGCACAACTGCTTTTTCTTATTTGAAAAGCCTTCTTCTTGAGCTTCTCTGCCCAAACTTGGGAGAGTTAATATCTGGTTTAATAGCTCTACCATTTGATTAAATCATGCTTTAAAAAAAAACTAGCATTCCCTCAAAATACCTTTGCAAATATTAATTTATGTCAATTTAATTTTTTGCAAGCTTTTGAATATGCATACTAACAAAATAGATTATGTGAATTTTGAATGTATGGGATATTCTCATTCTCTGGAATTTAATACATAAATTCATAAACATATAAGTTATAGTACATAAATCTGAACATAAGCCAGTATGCTAAAAATATGCTGTCACTGCATGTGGTACTTCAGAATCCAAGAAGTACAGTAGGGGTGGGTGGTGACTAAGCTTTAGAAACATTTGGCTCCCTTTAAAAAATGTTAGGAAATGGAATATATTCTGTTCTGTGCTCTATCCAGAGAGTCTGAAATGCCTACCCATCAGCTTGTAGCAGTTATGACCTTCTACTTGAAGAAACTAAGGTCATCTACAATGTTTGGATTTCTGGACACTCTCGTGCTATCTCAACCATCCCAATTCTAAGCTAGAAAAGCTTGATCTTTGTGTAGCTCCTCCTTTTCTATAATTTTAAATAAAAGTTATTCTATATAAAAAAATATGCTTATGCTTAAAGCAATCCACACTGGATCAAGGAGTCCTTTCCGCTAACTTTCCATTACCAGTTGAAACATCTCAGTATCAAGCGATTACTATGTCATAACATCCAAGCGCATCATTTCACATAGCCTGAGCCTCACAAGGGAATATTTTCTGATACACAGATCCCTGAGGCACAGCCGCCTCACAGATGTATGTCGTACCTAATAATGTCACGTCCCAGCCATGGGAACAAATAATAGGAATACAATATATAGCCTGAATGTCCCCAGCTCTTACTAGTGTGTGGGTCCTGAGGAGCACACTTTGATATTTCTATTTGAATTTTGCTAGCTCAGTCCCAACCAATGAATGACTGGACCTCCATCCCTCTTCCTCTTCCATATTGTTCCCTCTCCCGTTTTTTTTTTAAGCCAGACCCAAGGTGATCTCCTGTGGTCTCATTTGTTGGTCCAGACTGCTAAGTATTCCATTGCTCCTGCTTTTTTTTCAGTCATCATTCTCACGCACAAACAACCTGGCATATGCTATTTGTCCACCACTCTCGGACTGACTCTCCTCTAAATGCTTGTACTGCTGTTATTTGCTTCTGGGATATTGTTTGATGTTCTCTTGGTGCTTTAGACTGATTGCCTTTCTTCTGACATTTGGAATACTGACTTCCCTCCACAGAGATCTACTTGTTTAGAGAGCTCCCAAACAGAACAATAGATTTTCTTTTGGGAACACAAGACTTTTATGCCCAGAATGTATATGTTCCAACAGATTGGCTGGGATTCGACAAGTTCAAGTAATGGCCATCCCACTCCAGTGGAAATCACCATTTCCCCTCCTATCACTAGTTCTCGTGGCTGATTCTGGTAGAGCCAGACTCCTTCTTCTCTTGAGGTAGTTTTTTTTTTTTTCCTATGGGATCTCAGTTTCCTTACATCAGCCTTACCTATATTGTCTGAACCCCAAATCATGGTCACCATTAGACCCCCCTGCCCCCACATAGATTCCTTAACTTTCATAAAAGCCAGTAATGCAAACAGACCCACAAAGAAGTCCATGGTTAGGATGCAGATTTTCAGTTCTACCTACAAGGACTCACTTGAATAGCATAAGCCTAGCTCAGGCGCCACATTACAAGTGGTATAATAGCGTATAATAGTTAAAGTACTATGGGGCGACACGTGAAGGAATACTTCATTTAATCTAGGGTGTTGGAGGTCAGAAAAATCTAAAGGGAATATCTGGGATTTGTAGGAGTTTAGGCAGGCATGGTAAAGAAAGCTTTCTACATGGAAAGGAAGATTGGGCCTCAAGAAATCTAGGTATACATGTAATAAATGTGCAAAAATAACCAGTTGGATTTCATACTCTGAATGGAGAAACCTATTGCTGGAATGGAAGTTGCCTTATTAAAACCAACTTTTGTTTGTTTCTCAAATAGTGAATTTGGAAACCTACAAAGTTGCTTTGTAGGGGGGTGTGGGCAGAAAGGGGAGGCTTAACTGGAGTCACTGGTTGCCCCAATTCCTACTTGAACCAGATCAATACAACATTTGTCTGTTTAGGAGCTGATATTTTATGTAAGATTTCATTTGGAAAAAAAAAAAAAAAAGAATGGTTCTTCTGCTAACTGTCTAGAAACCATTAACCCAGGACCTCATTTAGATTCATAGGCTTTGGCTTTCTCTAAGGCAGTACCATAACTCAGGTGGCCAATTCTCGGCCTCTCCAGCCCATGGCTTCCTGGGAATCTTGACACTTCACCCCCAAAGGACAAAGTGTACCCTCATCCGAGGTGTTGTGACTTCTGTTGCTCTGGGATGTGATACAATACAACAATACAACACACTAAAATGCACTACAATACAGCATTGCAGGTAGAGCGGGCTCATCAGGGTAGAGCACACACAGGTTTTGAGGCTCAACATATAAAAACCAGATAAAATTTTTAACATTCCATTTCGAACTGTTTTATTTCTAATGTTTTGTTTTCCCAAAATAATACATATTCATTTAAAAAGATTGTCAAATAAACATAAGCGAAAAAGAAGAAAATGGAAATCAACCATGATCTTGTAGACTAGAGATTTAGAACTGATAACATCTTCGTGGACATACTTCACTTAAGGAAACCTATTTTGTATCTTTTTTCCTAACAGTTTGTGGTGGATATCATTCTTATTATTGTATCTTCTTCAGTACATGGTTTTTATTGGTTGAATAATATTCCGTTATACTAACAAACCCTAACTTATTTAACCATGATTCATTAACTAACTGCTGTTGTTGGACAACTAGATTCTTTTCCAGTTTTTAACTATAAAAGCACTATTGTTAGGACTCTTGTGCAGAAGTAAAAAGGGTTGCAGAAAAAAGGAGAAGGATGTGGTGAGAATGAGCAGGGGAGGCAAGCCATGTGTGGAGCGCACATGCATGGATGGTAGAGGTGGTCAGTGTCTGCAGGACCCTGTGCTATGTATGAGAATTAGAAGCCACTTGTAGGTGACTGGCCAAGCAGTGGCCAGGGACAGAGAGAGTTAATGGCCACTGGATGACAGCCGAATGATACCAGGAGGATGACCACAGAGTGTCCTCGGAAGACCCTGAGCATCTGCACATGCCCAGACTCCTTGGCAACAACACTTGCCAGAAGAAATGGGACTATTATGGACTGGCTGCACATGCAGACAAATACAGAGGGGGTCATTCATAGGGGATTGTACAAACGGGATAGCAAGATGGTTTGGCTGCATTGGGGATATCTGCACAGTCAGAGACGACTTGCTAGAGGTGAGATCAACAGGATATTTGAGTGGAAAACATCAGAGCTCTGCAGAGGAGGTGGTTTCCACTGTCACATCAGTCAGAAGTGCCAGGTATGATGTTGGCAGTGTAAGGTTTTCAAATAAATCTGCTCTCAGTGGCCTTAGTCCAGTTCTTACTGTGTAGTCTCTTTAATA